TATATATATATATATATATCTCCATAAAATGCGATAGAATTAGGTTTTATTTTCATGAATGCAAGTAAACATATCATAGTATAGTTTTTACTTGAATAAACAAAAGAACCGATTCAACTGTTTTCCAACAGTTTGCTGATGACTTGAACGCAGCACACAAGCATATGATGTGTTTAAAAGCATCGCGTGTTCACGATCACAAGACAGTTGGAGCTCCGGAGTCCGTTTTCTTCAGACTTAGCGTCCCTGGCATCATACTTGAGGTGCTTCCGTCCGTGTAGCAGATTACCGGGCTGTGATGGAGCGCTGGCGGGGCAGAGTGGCTCTGGTGACCGGAGCCTCGGTCGGGATTGGGGCGACTATAGCCGTGGAACTGGTCCGGCTCGGTATGAAAGTAATGGGCTGCGCCAGGGACATAGGAAAAATCCAGGTTTGTTCTGAAGTGGAAACTCAGATCCCGCAGAGAGTAATTTAATGTAAACTAGCTAGCACGGAGTAAATTTTGATGTTAAAGTTGCCGTAATGCAAATAAATAAATAAATAAATAAATAAATAAATATAGCTTTCAGACTTACAAAAGACAGGCTGGGCGAGCAGGAAGCATTAAACTATTATAAACTGACGAAAGCATGTAGTTACAGCACACTAATATATTACATTATTATTTAACTGCACAGTGTTTTCTTAACAGCCACTGCACGGAACGTTAAGTTTAATATGGCACAGAAAGTAGGAAGTTGGACACGTGACTTTCATCTGAATTGTAGTTTTCCTAAATCAAAATGTTAAACACAACAATGAAATTCGCCTTTTTGTCCTCTTTTTCTTGAATTGCCTAGCTCTAAGCTGGCAGACCATCCTAACACACAAGTCAGCATTTTCGATTTGGTACTCACTGAGGGGTTTTTTTTGTTTTGTTTTTTGTTTTAGCTTTGATAGAAAATGATGTTTTCAAAGATTAGCTACAACCATCCATTTAGCATATAGTAAATGAAGAACTTGACTTCCTGAAGTTTTTTTTATTTCCTTGATGAAATGCATGAATTGTTTGAATCACACCTCAAGACAAAACCAGAGAAAAGGCTTTTGCAGGCATCATCACATCATCATGTGCCTGCTGTTACAAAATGATTATTAGGTCAGTGAAATAAGCAAAACTCAAAAACGGGCAGAACATCCAAACACAGGCAAACTACTGCTTGTGGGTCACTGAGCTTTGATATGCAAACTGAAAACTCAAATCAATGTATTTACAGTAACTTAATCTACATGTTTGAATAGTAGATTCGTACACTTTAAAAACACAAATGGGATTCTGAAGTCTGTCATCTTTTTCTATTCTGGTTTCAGAAACTGGCAGCAGAGTGTCAGAGCGCCGGCCACCCTGGTGTTTTGGTTCCTTTCAAGTGTGACTTGAGCAAAGAGGAGGAGATTCTGGCCATGTTTGCAGCGATCAAAGAGCAGCACAAAGGCGTGGACGTGTGCATCAACAACGCTGGCTTGGCTCATCCAGACCTGCTGCTAAATGGCAAAACCAGTGGCTGGAAGAACATGATGGATGTAAGAGCTCTGAGTTATTGTAGAAATAAAATACTTGTTTTGATCTGGAAGAACTTTTTGCATTGCAGATCATTGCATTGTAAAAAGTAATTCACATTTGTTGATTCCAGATATTTTCTTTACATTTTATTTATTTTCTTGGTTTCTTACAGGTGAACGTTCTTGCTCTGAGTATCTGCACACGTGAAGCTTATCAGTCAATGAAAGAGAGAAATGTTGACGATGGCCACATCATAAACATAAACAGGTGTGCAATTTTTCACAAACTTGTAATATTGTTATTACCATTATCTGTATTTTACCACAAAGTCTCATTTTACAGAAGGAGAGTAGTGACTGGGCCTTAGCTTAAGGGGCCCACTGGCATCCATCAGTCTAGTAACTGAATATTTCAATTCATTTTAATTATATTTATATAGCACCAAATCACGACAACAGTCAATTCAAGGCGCTTAATACTGTAAGGTAAAGATTCTACAATAATACACAAAAAACCCTGGCAATCGGACAACCTCCTGTGAGTAAATACTTTGGCGACAGTAGGAAAGAAAAACTTCCTTTTCACAGGAAGAAACTTCTGATAGGACGAGTCAGCCATGAATGGTTGTGGGTCCATTTAACAAATTAACAAAGTCAAAGAGAAGCTGCAAAACATCAGGATAAAATAACTGCTGCAACCCTATATACAGTTTTGTGGGCAGCAGAGTGTCTTACATCAGTGAGAAATTACTTAAAAAATAACACAAAATAAATGTTGCTTAGTGCTCGCCTGGTTAATGCCTCATAAATCTGTTGCAGCATGTGCGGACATCGTGTAGTTCCCAAAGCTGTTCTGCATTTCTACACCGCCACAAAGTATGCTGTAACCGCCCTGACGGAGGGCCTGAGGCAGGAGCTGCGTGCAGAAAACAGCCATATCCGAGCCACAGTAAGGCTGCAGCCAATCTAAAAGTGTCTGAAACACCAATATTACAGTTTTCAGATACGCACATGTAGTAGTTTGTGAAGATCCCTCAATATCAGCTCTTTTTTGCAGTGTATATCTCCTGGTTTAGTGGAGACAGAATTTGCTTTCCGGCTCTACAGCAACAGTCCTGATAAAGCATCTGGTGCATATTCTGCATATAAGGTAAAATTATTATTCCTACTCTTCATGCACTGCTAATACGATAACTCAGATAAAATGTATTTCATTTGGATGCCAGTCTAGCTCACTGGGTCAAGCAGGCGACCCATATGCCAAAAGGCCACTATAGGGGCTCAGGTGTGAGCTGGCCTGGCCACTTTCTGCATGTGATTCATTCCCTGCGTTTCTGTCTACTCTACTGATCTATAAGAATAAAGAAGAAAAGGCCCAAAATAAAAATATTTTTAAAGCTGTTAATCATGTTCCACTTCTCTGACAGCCTCTGGAAGCAATAGATGTTGCCAATGCTGTTACATACGTGCTCAGTGCGCCTGCTCACGTTCAGGTGATTTCCTCTTATTTTAATTCTTTTTTATTGTGAATTATTGGTTTTCCTGATTTGCTGTTTAAACATCAGCACTTTGCTTGTAATAATATATAAAAAACATCTTTCTTTCAGATTGGAGATGTTCAGATGCAAGGCACGGAGCAAGCTTAGGGTTGACCTACATGATCCCCCTGAATTAACCTACTTCCTTACTACACTTATGAAAATGATGAGTCGTGATATGGTCATGAAACAGTTTTGTTTATGATGTTTGTCCTTAAAGTTTTCACTGATTTATAAAATAAAATGTTTTTGTGGGGGAAATTTGTGAGTGTTCTTATTTCACTGAAGGAAATCTGATTTAGAGAGCTGTGTATGGTGGAAAACATACAGTTGTAGGTGTAAAAATATCTCAAACATATGTTTCATTCCTCCAACAATAGTAATAAAATGTAAAGTTATTATATAATACCTCACTAATTCATGGGAAAGTAGAGTCTGAGAATATTCGTTAACAAAGTTAACCCACCGTGTGTAAAAACAAAAACTGTGGTGACTCTTTGTGACGAGGGAACAGTGAAAAGTAGCTTCAGATTTCGGTTAACTAAAATACTTTTTTCACACCTTGTTTCATGTCTTAGCATATTCCAACTTCAAACTATAACAACACTGGACCCCACCAGATGGATTATGCAGCAAAGTCTTTTTTTGACTAGTATTCTTCCTAATTGTGGTCACGATGACTCTAACTGAGCCTACTCTGAAAAAAATAATCTTCTTGTTTTTGGAAACATTGGAACAATTGCTGACATGTTTTTTTTCCACTGATGATCCTGTTTTTTGTGTTGTTTGTACTTTTCTATTTTCCTTTGTACTAAAATGGACTTATATGTCTGAAGTAATGTTTCGATGTAGAGGGAGGATAAGCTTTCACCCCTTTCTGTTTTGACCACTAGAGGTCACAAGCATGACAGAGAGATTAGGTACCCTGCTTATGTCTCCAATTTGATTGATGGCCCTAGCCTTGACCTTTTGACCCCACCGGAAGTACTCCGGAAGTATATGATCCATAAGCGCGATGAATTGCATCCGGTGAGGGGAGGGTACTCCGGAAGTGTGTATTGGATTCCATATGTGTGACGAAATGCAACCGGTGGGGGGAAAATGTATGTTTTCTCCCTTAGAGGGAGGGGGGTCTGTGGAGGGAGGAGAATTAAAAACAGAGAGGGAGGGGTATGGTTCCTGGGGGGATCAGAGAGGGAGGGGTTCCTGAGGCATCGGGGTGACGCAGCAGATTTCTGTTGAGTCAGTGCTGTATAGAGAGACAGAGCAGCAGTTAGTTTTCAGTTTTTAGTTAGCAGTTAGGTGGGCTAAGCATTTGACCTTGACCTCTACTGTTAGCCCCTGAGGTCAGAACATGTTTTCCATACATCCATCCATCCATTCGCTTCCGCTTATCCTTTTCAGGGTCGCGGGGGGGCGCTGGAGCCTATCCCAGCTGTCATAGGGCGAAAGGCGGGGTACACCCTGGACAGGTCGCCAGTCTGTCGCAGGGCTAACACATAGGGACAGACAACCATTCACGCTCACATTCACTCGCACATTCACACCTAGTGACAATTTGGATTAATCAATTAACCTATCCCCACAATACATAAAATACTAAAATACAATGAACTTTTGCCAAAAGTTATTTAAGTGTTATTTGTGATTAAATATCATGATTTTTCTTTTCTTTGTTTTTTTTTTAGCTTTGTCATGGTTATATAAAACAGAGAGGTTTGGACAGGCAATTTATCTAAATGTTAATCAACCTTTATAAAGCACACCCTCTATTCATACTGGAAATCTGACTTTTGGCAAGAGTTCATTGTTAATAAATGGTGCACAAAACTTTGTGTTTGTTCAGCACACACAGTTCACCTTTGCGCAATTTCTCCCATGTACTGAAACAGCAATTTCTTCACATAAATCAGTCAAATCTAGGAAAGGTTCCCACCCCAGACCTTCACAATCAGCTAAGTGGATTTGCAGATTCATACACATACAGTGCTAAAAACACAAAGTGGATCTTGAAGTCTATAATCTTTTTTCTTTCTGGTTTCAGAAACTCACAGCAGAATGTCAAAGTGCTGCCCACAATGTCATTGTCATGCATTACAAGTGTGACCTGATCAAAGAAGGACATCCAAGTTCACAGCAACCTAAAAGCAGCACAAAGGTGTGCACTTGTGCTGCAACACAATCACTGCTACGTGGAAAAACCAGGATTGAAATGCAGGTAAGAGGTCAAAGTTTTAGCAGTTTTGCTGCTTGATCTGCAGTAGAGTAAATGGACAAAGAACCAATATTTCTTTACAGCACTTAAGTTGACTTTTTTTATTTGTACTGGCAACTTTTTACTTTTACTCCTGTCATCCTAACACAACTCTTTCTGACATTTTCAAAAAAGGCTCATGACTTTAGGTTTAACAAATCTGAGGGGACCTAATATTTCCTGTTGTCGCAGTCAGCAGGTGCAGACTGTGTGGAGTGGAGAATAGAGGACCCAAATGCACACAAAACAATGCTTGGAAATGAACTGCACCCCTCCATACAGTAACAACTAAAAAGAAACTAACAATGAAACTAATAAATAACTAAGTCAAACTAAACTGAATTAACAACAGAAAAATCTCATATTACATTTTTTGTGTGATGGTAGATATCAATAACACCACGAGCTGTTCCAGCTTTAATTTTGGTGAAAATTGGGTTAAGGTTAGGTTAAGGTCAAGGTCACAACAAATATGGAAATCAGAAAAAAACTTTAAATTACCCACAATATTTTACAGGTTGTCTTTAAGCTTCAACAATAAACTAGGCCTTGGGGGACTGTCGCTGCACGCTCGGAGCCATAAACATAGATTGCTTTGACAGTAGTAACAGGCAGTAATAAAGGTGTAAGGTTCACGTCGCACGGTTTACATCATTTAGAATTAGCGTTTTACTTGGTCATCACGTGTTTGTCATTCTAACAATGATGATGTAACGTGTCACAGAGTAAAAGTTATCTCAAACTGTTTTCATAAACCTGACAACAGGATTGGCTGAAAGCCTCCCTGCAGGGCGGAGAACTGTAGCTGTTTGAGAGAAAAAGGCGGACTGACATGACTCAGATGTTTCTCTCTCTATATATAAATGCTCACACGGGACAGTGAAAGATCCGTCGCCCTCTCTCTCTTCGTATTTGTGCTTCTTTCGTGCTTGTAGCAGGTTACCGCTGTGATGGAGCGCTGGCGTGGCAGAGTGGCTCTGGTGACCGGAGCCTCGGTCGGGATTGGGGCGGCTATAGCTGTAGAGTTGGTCCGGCTCGGTATGAAAGTAGTGGGCTGCGCCAGGGACGTCGCAAAAATCCAGGTTTGTTCTGAAGTGAAAACTAGAGTATCTTGAGCTATATCCAGGGCCGGTGCCAAAAAGTGGTTGTCTGCCAAAAACTGCGGTATTTGGCAAAAACTGATTGCTTGTATTTAAACTGCTATAAATAACTTATTGGTCTATAATATGTGAAACATATTTCAAATGTATCCCTCATCAATGATATCAAGTCATCTTGAGCAACAAACAACATTCCTGTAACAAGTCAGCCGCAGTTAGTTTTTGGCAGTGACTTTTATGTATCCTTTATTTATGCACTGAAAAAAAATTCTGTTGACTTTAAAAATGTCTCTTTTAAGAGTAATCTGGCCAAGAGGACAGCTGAAATTGCAACAAAAGCAAAAATAGTTCTGTAAACATATTTTAAGTGACAAAAGGGAGCTGATTGGTTATAATGTAACCAGTTACAAAGATACTTGAGAAACAGGTAATTTTTTTATTTTATATATAACCCCTTTGTAATACCAGTTCACCAAAGTCTATTAACATACGTTACGATATTACACGTAAAAAAACACACGGAAACATTGGAAATCAGTTTTTGGCAGGCAATCACTTTTTGGCACAATACCGGACTGGTAATCTGGTATACGGGGTATTTTCCCTGTGGGCCGAAGCATTTGTAGGGGGCTGATTTTTTTCTTCTTGTTTGCATTAGTTCAATTTTAATTTTCAATCAAATCTCTTAACGCCTCTGGCCCTTCCTACTTTCCGTGTGCACCTACGCACCCTAGAACAGAGTTAGTGTTAATAAAGCGGGATACAAACGAAGAAAGAAAACAGGAAAAAAACTGAGAGAAAAGTAAACAAGAAATAGATACAGCAAAGTGTGTCAAATTAACCGACATGTTAGCAGTGCAGTAGTACCAGAAACAGCTGATATAAAGCCCTGGCATTCACGAGAGCTTGCTGTAGCTCATGGCTTTATTTCTGTGTCTCTATTCTAAACGCACGTAAATAATTTTTGCAAGAACAAATGTCACATTTTGAGTAGAGAATTATTTTCATGTACAAAATTCATGTACAGAATTCATGTATTTCAGTGTTTGCTATCCACATAGACACAAAATAATAGTGTAGTTAAGAACATTTTCGGTTAGTATTTTTTAATTATTTGATTGTAAAATATATATTTTTTATGTTGGTTTTAATCTAGTTTAAACCAAACCACTTCACTGGATTTAGCTACATTTGTGTTTCCTGAATGCAGTGGCTAGCGAGCTGATTGGAGACCAAAACAGCCACTCATTTTGAATTCAAGTCTGTAATTAGTTGGTTTTTTGGCATATTTATAACCATGTACTGAAAAAGTTGAGTGTGCAGGGAGCAGAGATGTTGACAGCAGAAGCGACATACTGAGAGCACACAGAGCAGAGATCTGAGCAAGAGCAAATGCCAACAACTGAGCGAGAATGGCAGTTATTGTGTGTGTGTATGTATAATAGCAAACACTGAAATGAATTTTGTTTGCTCAAAATAATTGTCTCCTTAAAATGCAACATTTGCAAAAATTATTTATGTGCTCTCAGAATAGAGGCACAGCATTAGCCATGGAGAGCGCAAGAGGACCAGCAGTCCCAACAAGAGAGTGAGGAAGAAACAGAGGAAGGTGTAGTTAACGAATAAGGTAGAGAGAGGAAGAGACTCAGGGAAAAATAAATGGCTCATGGTTAAAGCAATTTGATAATAACAAGCTAATAGCTAAAAGGTAACTTCATTTCTACATTGCAACTAAGATGTTCTATCCCAACAACAGCTGTACGAACCTGATTAAAAAAGAAAAGAACATTTTGATAGACCAGGCCTGCATCTATCACTTAGTGTATTTCGATCTCGGCTGTTGCATTTTATATTTTTTAGTCTATATTTATATTTATATATGTGTTCACTGTTACCTAGCAAAAAAGAACAGAGGGAGCAGCTGGGCAAAAGTTGAACAGTTTATCTGACTAACACTAAATAAACCTGAAAATCTATTGTAATGCTATGAATCAGATTATGTGTAAAAGTTCACTGTTAATAGATTTTTAATTTAGTCCAACACACAAACAGAAGGCTGGACACATATGAGCTGATGACTCTAGAGTCTAGACCACAGGTGTTGAAGTCCAAGCCTCGAGGGCCGGTGTCCTGCAGGTTTTAGTTGTGCCCTTCATCCAACACATCTGATTTAAAGGCTAGATTACCTCCTCAACGTGTCTTGAAGTTCTCCAGAAGCCTGGTAATGAACTAATCATTTGATTCAGGTGTGTTGACCCAGGGAATTATCTAAAACCTGCAGGACACCGGCCCTTGAGGTCTGGATTTCGACACCCCTGCTCTAGACAGAACTATTCAAACATGTTTGGGGGCTGAATTTTTTACAGTCTGCAGTGGTTCAGTAGAATGTTTTGTTAAGTAAAAGTGCTCCAGTCAGATAAAAACTCCTCCTCCTACTAAAATAATCTTGTTGCTTTTGAGATAGAAAGATAAGCTACTGTGCAGCAGATCTGATGAAACAGCTGATGGCAGGATGTGTTCAGACATGAGTTGAGA